TCTTTGAAAGAACTTTCTGTATATGATCTTATTGATAACAGCAACTCGAAATGACAGATGAGACACTTGGTGAGTTCGTATTAGTGATTGGGAAGGTTGTCCAGCAAGCTGGCACAAACTTTAAGCATAAACAGTTTTTCTTGTTGTCAAGTAACCAATGCCAATGAACTGTACATGTAGAAACTCTTGAAGTGGTTGGTATATGTTTTGTTGTGAATATCTTCAGCAAAAAAAATGAAGTAATTTTTTTTTAAAAAAAGAAGATGATGAGTAAGAAAAAGCCAAAACAAGACTGGTAGTGACAGAATTCCAGACAGACGGAAAGATCTGGTTGTCGACAAGCAATAGAAAGGAGGTCAGTGTGGATGGGGAGAGGACCTGCTGGAGGGAGTGAACAGTGTTGGGGTGAGGCTGTTATTGTTGAGAGGCATTGAGTAGGTGCCAGCTCATAGCCACCCTATAAAGGGCTTCCAAGGAGCAACTGGTGGGTTTTGTCCGCTGACCGTGTGGTTAGATGTTCACTGCTTATCCTTATAGCATCACACCAGGATTCCACTGTGAATCTTTGAGGGAGCAGAAAGCCTCATCTTTGAAGTAGCTGGTGGTTTTGAACCACAGATAAGTCCAGTGTACTTATCCTAGAACGCCACCAGGGCATACAAACTGATTAGGACCCTGTGCAGTAGAAACTGATGAGAAATGATAAGGTCCTTCAATCAAGATCCACCACCTTTTCTTTCAACATGTGTGCTAGCAACTCCTCCCAAGGATAATTCTCAGCTACTTTTGGGGTGAATCATAGTAAAATCATATTAAAGGCACACAGTACACCAGAGTTTGGGGGAGACAGGCAGAGGGAGGAGATGAATAAAGAGCAATAGAAAGGCTCAGAAGTCAAGATGCCCCCGATTGTTGGCTCCAAACAACCCTGTGGTGTGACCAACTCAGTTGACTTCCCCATAAAATGAGGGTAATAGTACTTGCCCTGAGGATTGAAAAATGGATTGTAGATAAGTGAATGTAAAAGCTAGCCCCAAGGAGGGTGTGCAATAAATCATTATTACTGTGTTCTTGGGAGGCAAGGACTCATTTGAAAGACATTAAGGAGATAGATTCTGTCTGGTGTCACAGCCAGGTTGAGGGTTAGAGATGGAAGGTTCTAGCATGGGTCAGGTTTCTAGAAGCCTAATGCTTGGGTGAGGGGGGGTGAGCTCACCAACGAAAAAAGGAACTCAAGGCAAAAGGGTTGCACTTGTTGAGTGACTTAGAGAATATGTGCATAATGCTAAATGTCTAGGTGAAGGAAGAGAGAGAAGAAAGGAGAAGGAAGCTACAAAGGCAAGAAGTGACTGGCTTACAAGCTTTCAATAGGGAACCTAGTTCCAGAGGGTATGGGGAAAGGTAGAATCTCCACTGAGTGGTTTCCAACCTGTCTGGACAGGGCTGATGAAAGGTGATGGGGATAAGACTCTTGTGGTTCAATAGGGAATGATTACTATCAGGATTGTGAGTGTTGGAAAGGTAAAGGTAGACATTTTATAACAGAAGGAGGGGAGTGGTTGATTTTGCAGTCCAAGAGCAGAGGTCCCTGGAACCATCAAGAGAGCAAAGCGAAGTGCAGGACCCTATCTAGAGATGGAGACAGAAACAATGGCGTGAAGAGAAGGAGCGACTGGGGACTCTACACTCAGGGAAGGAGAGGGGCTGTATGCTGACCACCCAAGGGGCATGGTTGTGGGGTGTACCCTTTGGTTGTTTGATGATGCATGCAAGGGATTGTAATCATTGCAATGTAACAAAATACAATAGGATGAAAGTAAAGATAATGTTCTCCCATGTAAACTATATTATCACATAATTCACAATAAAAACTTAGAAAAAAAGAAGATACAAGGGAAAAATTGAAAAAAGAAGAAGGAAGGATCGTAAGTTGGGCAAAGAAAAGTGAAGGCTGGGGGGAAATGGTGCCACTAGGGGTTGCAGGGGGTGGATATACTGCCAGAGGGGATGACACGAAACGTACTGTCTATAAAATTTTTGTGCAGTGTTTCTTCAGGTTTTTTTATTATTCTTGTAAAAATACCCCTGTATTTAGTTATAACAACAAAATACCTTTTGTAAGTGCAACTCACATGTAGCAATATACCTACAAAGCTAAAAGTACATGCTAGTCTACTCTTGGAACTTTCTGATGATCTCTGTCAACACTCTTTTATTACCCAACCACAATGGCACTTCAAATCACAAGGGCCCCTCTGCACTGGCTACCAGCACTAGCTTCAAACACACACAACAGGCAGGGCTGTAGTTTGCGTTGCTACCGCATTTTTACAGTTGATGATTTTGTCAAATTCTCTGGTGTTTCAACTATAATATTGTGGTCGTTAATATATGTGAACCTCTGTCAGTAACTTTTTTGAGAATGAAATAGCAGTGAAAGGAAAAGGAGAAAAAAATGTAAAGGTTTCCTCTCAGTTGCTAAGAGTATTCTCACTAATAATGTAATTCTGCAGACTGACAAAGCAATTCTGTTGTTGGTTTTCATATAATCTAAGAAACATTACATTTAAGCAGTTTATATCTAGATTTTTTGCCTGATTCTCTGATGAAAATTGATAATAAACATTACCAAGGGTTCAGTATGGTCTGGTATGGGTGGAGGTGACGCCATGAGCTGCAGCACTGGGTGACACCAACCCAAGTGATACCAAAGCCAGGGAAGACCGGGAAAGGGGACCTCAGACTGGGGGCGGGGAGGGAGGGGGCGGCAGCCCTGGGAGGCGGGGACAAGGCCAGGCTACGCTGGAGAGAAGCGAGCGGGGCTCTGCGGAGACGCGAGGAAGTGAACCTTACCCGGCAGGTGAGCCACGCTGAGAGGGGAGGAGGTGGCAAGCGGGGGGCATGGCTAGAGGGGGTGTAGTTTCCTCTACCCTCCTCACTTCTGGGGTCCTCAGGGAGAGGGGTACGGGCAGGATAGCTCTTCTGAAGGACACGCGGGTCCGGACTGGCTGCCTAGATTCGCTGCTTCCACCTCTTCCCCTCTAGACTGGGCCCGGGCCGGGATCCACCCCCCGCGGCCTCCCAGCGGAGGTGGGGGACTTGGGGTCCTGCTAGCGGCCCTTGTCTGAGAACAGTGGCAGATTTCAGCAGGGTGAACACGGGCTTTCCCGCCGATCCGAGAGTACCATGACCCCCACCCGCTGCCACTCTGCCCGTGGAACCCAACACCCCCATCTTACCACGCACCTCCCGCTAGGTGCCGCGCTCTGCCCTCCCACTGCGCTTGGGTCAGAGACGTGGAGGGACCCCAGACGCAACGTGGGTGGTGGGAGCTGCACCAGGAGCAAGCAGGACATTCAGGGGGTGCTGTCCCCCACAGTTAAGGTACACCCTTGCTTACGGATTTGGGACACCCAACGGCTTAAAGCTTGAATGAGCAAAGATTATTTCTTCTGCCTTAAATCAGCACCCTGCGGCCTGCAAAGATTTCCTGGGGTGGGGGTGGGGGGTGGGGGTAGGGGTGTCTCAAGAAATACAACGCCCCGGGGCCACCCTGAGAGCCGCCTTTTACTGCTCATGCACTCTCTGTGAGCCTGGCTTTACACTGGGACTTTAGGGATCTCATCCCTCATCCTCATAACAGCCCCTCACGACTGCTGAAAAGTTTCGGTTTATTATATTATAAGGTCATCAACTACACAAATATTTACCTTGGGCATACCAAGGAAAATAAAACAAAATCACTGCCTTAAAGGAACTCATAGAGGATGCCAAGGGATTAGCAGTTACACAACTTGAAAAGCACACCCCTAGAGAGGCCTCTCTTAGAACAAGCAAGAGTTAGTCCTGCCTCCAAATCACAGGGTTGGCAAAAGTAGCAACAGGCCTTTGACCTCAGGTCTTTCTGATTTCCGGGTTTTCCACTGTACAACTGTACGCTGCTTCATCTGTCTGGCAGTTTAGCGGCCACTCGTTGTGTCCTGGGGTCCAACTACTCCTTTTGAAAGTACAGGAATGTCTTTGGTGTCTAATCAGACAGAATAGACCTTCTTCCTCTCTCCTTCCTTAGCAACTTGTATTCACCTCCGTGTGGAGTTGACCCCAATACATCGTGACCCCATGTGTGTCAGAGTAGAACTGTGCTCCATAGATTTTTCAATGGCTGGTTTGTTTTTTTACCGAAGTAGATTACCAGGCCTTTCTTCCAAGGTGCCTCTCAGTGGTGCATCTCACTGTGCAATGAGCAACTTTTAGCACAGTACTTGCCTCTAGGGGAAACTTTTTCATGCTGTGATAAGCACTCGACCTCAACGTTGATTTGAACCACAAAGTTGTCAGTTCAAACTTACCAATTGTTCCTCGGAAACCCCATACAGGGTCGCCATGAGTCAGAACCAACTCACTGGCACTTAACAACAACTGTTGTCTTAACCTGTCTTCCTCTTTAAACTGTGATTTCCTTTAAGGCAGTGATTTCTCCGTATTTTCCTTTGACTCTCGTGGTGTAATAGGCACTCAGTAATATTGTTGTTGTGAAGTGCCATCGAGTCGGTTCCAACTCATAGTGACCCTGTGTAGGGTTTCTGAGGAGCGGCTGGTGGGTTTGAACCACTGACCTTGCTGTTCAAACCAACCTTGCGGTCCAGTGCATTATCTTGCAGCCCATACCAGGACTCTTAGACCATAAATATTTGTATTGTCAATGGCCTTTTAATGAAGTGAAACCTTTCTTAGGAACACAATTTATCTTTTGTAAAACATTTCACTCTTCCAGTGGCATTTCCCTCGATTCTCAATATGACTTGTTGCCATTAGGTAGTTCGTTTAAGTTCATTTAAATGTCTTGTTGGGAAAGGAGTGTTAGAAATTGAGTTTGCAGAGGGTTGCAGATGAAGGCCTATAAAAAAATGAAAGCAAGTTTCCCAGATAGGTGTAGTTGGTACTAAGGATGGTTTTAGGGTTGCTGCAAGCATTCAGTCACAACGTACTGATTTTCTTTTACTTAGACATTGGTCCAAGCAGCACGCAGAGTACCCTCAACTAGAAGAAAAGCACACCCAAGGTTATCATGGCTTCAGTGTCTACTCATGGAAACCACGATAAAGGTCCTCATATGCCACCACCAAGCAAGCAGGTATAGTTTTAACTTGTTGATCTGCCATCTGCAAGGGAATTACATACAAGACTTGATGAAACTCAAGCTAGCCCAGTCACGTCCCTTTCTTTCTTTTCTCATTTATTTTTCTATCTAGCACCTGTTGGATGAGTTCAGGGAAAATGGAATGGAAAGTTTGGGGCTGCCTTGAAAGGGAATGTTTTAAAATTTATTTACAAAATCCTTTCTTTATGCTTCCTTGTTTAGAATCCATTTCATGGAGTCTGTCAGTGACTAAAAAGGTTTCCTTTAGCAGACGAAAACTCTTAGGTGAACCAAACAGAATGATGTTTTTACATTTTTGTTACCAAGGCTAATCATATGACATTTTGCTATTCAGGCTAGCAGGGTCCTTAATTACTAAATTAGCCATCAGATTGAGAACCCAAGTCTTAACATGGGCACAGCTTTTCAACTTGTTAAGAATGAATATTATGCCTTTCAGGGACATATAAAATGAAGAAAAGAAAAAATATGTATTGTGTGAAATGAAGTTCTCTGGGGTCAGCTGTTGAAGATAAAAGTGTTTATGGAGGAGATGATATTTATGGGGTAAAGTTTAGGAAAAGCAAATAAACAAGTGATACCAAGTCACAGGGAGAAGTGTATGGACACCTGAGTTGCCTCTGTGAAATGGAGAGTCATAAAACATTGATGGCTTTTATAGAAAAAGATCACCAAAGCCCTGCTGGGAGACATAGCAGGAACATTTAATCTTGATGGCAAGACTCACAGCAATTGTGATCCTCTGAGTGTGTTGTGTATGTGTGTGTATGTGTAGGTAGTGGTAGTAAAGAGCTGAGTAGGGATTCCTTGTTTCTGCTGCAGCCACATTCAGAAGTAAGAATTGATATTTACACTGGGCCTAAGTGGAGTGCTTGCTGTGTGGAGGAATTAAGGTAATTGGAAAATGAGAACATCTTCTCCCATTGCTGAGATGCCCTTTCTGCCATGGTGTATGCTGGGCCATAGGGAACTGTAAAAAGGGAGGAAGGTGTTTGCCACCTTGGGTTGCCTGTAGACCTCTGAAGACATTGCTATCACAAGGCTCTCCACATTGTAAATGAGACACCATGCATGAAAAGTGCATAGAGCAGTATCTGGCCCATGGAAAAAAGCCTCAAGAAATGACATTCACATTGATAATTACTACAGACAGTACAAGGAACCCTGGTGCCACAGCAATTAAGCACTTAGGTGCTAACAGAAAGGTTGGTGATTTGAACCCACCCAGGGCATCAGGATTGGAGGAAGACTTATTAACATATGCAATATGCAGATGATCAGCCTTGTTTGCTGAAAGTGAAGAGGACTTAAAGTATTTACTGATTAAGCTCAAAGACCACAGCCTTCGGTATGGATTGCATCTCAATGTAAAGAAAACAAAAATCCTCACCACTAGATCAATAAACAACCTTTTTATCAAAGGAGAAAAGATTGAAGTTGTCAAGGACTTCATTCTTCTTGGATCAACTATCAACACTCATGGAAACAGCAGCCAAGAAATCAAACAACATATTGCATTAGGCAAATGTGCTGCACAAGACCTTTTGAAAGTGTTGAAGAGCAAAGATGTCAGCTTGAGAACTAAGGTGTGCCTAACCCAAGCCATGGTATTTTCAATAACCTCATATGCACGCAAAAACTGGACAATGAATAAGGAAGACCATAGAAGAATTGATGCTTTTGAGTTATAGTGTTGGAGGAGAATATTGAAAGCACCACGGGCTGCCAAAAGAACCAACAGATCTGTTTTGGAAGAAGTGCAGCCAGAGTGCTCCTTGGAGGCCAGGATGGCCAAAATTCGTCTCTCATACTCTGGACAAATTGTCAGGCAGGATCAATCACTGGAGAAGGATATCATGTTTGGTAAGGTGGAGAGTCAGAAAAAAAGAGGAAGACCTCCAGTGAGATAGACTGACAACATGGCAGCATCAGTGGGCTCAAGTGTGGCAACAATTGTGAAGTTGGCCCAGGACTGGGCAGTGTTTCGTTCCGTTGTTCATGGGGTTGCAGTTCCTATGAGGCAGTACCAACTAGATGGCACCTAACAACAACCACAAGTACCTCTGTGCAAAAAAAAAAAAAAAAAACACCTGGCAATCTGCTTCCATAAAGGTTGTTGTTGTTGTTAAGTGCCATCGAGTCGATTCCGACCCATAGCGACCCTGTACAGGGTTTCCGAGGGTGTAAATCTTTACGGGAGTAGAAAGCCTCATCTTTCTCCCACGGAGCAGCTGGTAGTTTCGAACCACTGACCTTAAGGTTCACAGCCCGATTCGTAACCACTACGCTACCATAAAGGTTACAACCAAGAAAAACATAGCAGGTAATACTGCATTGCTCCATGGGGTCACTAGGAGTCTCAATTGGATTGACAGCACCATTGTGGGTTAATGTTCTGAACTGCAAGGTCAGTTTGAACCACAAGCGCACCAGCCGCTCCTTGGAAACCCTTTACAGGGTCACTACGTCGTTTTACAGCACTGTCTCAATGGCACTTAACAACAATAACACAAACAATAAAGAAGTCTTAAAAAAAAACAGTGATGACTTCGGGTAAGATGGTGGACTAGGCAGACACACTAAATGTTCTCTCTGCAAAGATATGAGAGACCAAATGATGAAACTGACACAGATGAAAGTCCTGGAACCCTGAACTTCAGAAGAAAGGTTAGAGAAGTGGACTGAGTGCTTGCTGGGAGGAGAAGCTGAGCAGATATGGTGAGAGAGGGAGACTGACTGGTGAACAGCTGTCCAGATACTACTCAACCATCTTGAAACTTTGTGAACAGCTTTGGAAACAGAAGGTGGCCAGGCAGAGTGGGGTCATGGAGGTGACAAAAAAGGTGCAAATTCTTCTTTTTCCCCATGCTCTCCTGGTGACCAGAGGTGTGGCCAGCTCCCACCCTCATCTACTCCCAGCACAGCTTCTGCTCCCCAGGAGTTCAGAGTCACATGATTGGGAGCCATGCCAATGTGAAGCATGGGCTGGCTGCACCTCTTTGGTGCCTGGGTTCAGGTGGGCTCAGCTTAGGATCTATAGAAACCACAGAGCCACCAGATCAACATTTAACCAGTCACCTGGCCCCCAGCCGCCCTATTGTCCTAACAGAAACTGAAGCTACCTCTATCTAGAGCCTCCCAGAACTGCTCCCAGACTGAGTGTCCTAAACATAGATAGCACCAGGGCTGATAGGAATTCCATCTAGGGCCAGGAACTCTGCTGTCACATCCCTCCCACACCCACCTCTTGAGATCCTTGGCTTGCAGGAGCTTCCCAGAGTTTTATCCTCTTTAGGTAAAACAGCTGCACTGGTTTTTTGTTTGTTTGTTTGAGGGTTTGTTTGTTTGTTTTTCTTTTGTTGTTTCATTGTTTGGGTTTTTTTGTTTTTTTTTTTCTTTTTTCTGCTTCTTCTTCTCTTTACATTCCCTTGAATTTTATCCTTCCTATCTCCACTTTTGCTTTTCATTCTTTCTCTCAATTCTTCTCCCTCCCCCCTCTCATCTTCTGTCTCCCTGGTTTTTCTAAAATTTATTTTATTTTTATTTCTTCCTTTTATTTTTTTATTCTATGCTCCATTTTCCTGTTCCTCTTTTTTCTTTTCAGTTATTCTATTCTTTTCTTTTTTTTTTTTTTCTGGTTTCTGCCTGTTTTTAATTCTTTTTCTTCTCCTTAATTCTTTTCTCTTTTCATTGTTGGTTGCTTGCTTGATTATTCTCTTTTGCCTCCTGGTGTGTGTGTGATGGAAGGATGGTTTCTTCTCTTTCCTGCCTAAGAGGAGACAGCAACCATGTCCACATAGCCCAGACACAACCTCTGCATTTCCATTTACTGGGCAAGAGCAAATACCAGCTCCTATACCACCTGATCAATGATAGACAGCAGCCAACACTAATCAAACCCACCCTAAAATGTGGTGCATAAACAGCAATAGAGAATAGTATACACTCTTCCATTCTCTTACTACACCTGCAAGAGACAGTTGATGAAACCTAAGACCACATCAACATAAAATCATCAGTTAAATACAAATAGAACAATACCCACAATGCACCCAACAAAAATAAAAATTGAAAAAACAGAAAAGTTTTAGCTCACATAGAGAAACAAGAGAGAATGGCACAAGCAAACAAGCCTGGTATATATCCAAAACACATTCCTAAGGAAGAAAAGGTAATGGAACTAACTGAAAAAGAATTAAAAAGAATAATATCTGGGTACCTACAAAAGACTGATAGAAATGTCAAGAAAAGCACAGAAAGAACTTTAGAAGAATTCAGAAAAGCACTACAAGAACAAACAAATAAATGCAAAATTTAAAACAATACAAAACCTGTAATCAGAAATCCAGAAGATTAATACTTAGATTTCAAAACTAGACAGTACATTGAAAGGTACTGATTCAAATCATTGAAAACCTGAATTAATGAGCTTGACCATAAATCTTTCAATACTAATATAAAAGAAAAACAATCAGAGAAAAATAATGGGGGAAAAAAATCCAAAGAAAGCCTAAGAGTTATGAGGGACACTATGAAGAGGAATAGTTACAGGTGATTGGAATTCCAGAAAGGGTAGAGGCAATAAAAAGGAAAGAGAAAAGGTCAGAGTTTTGGGGAGAAAAATTCCCTAACATCATGAAAAATGAGAAGATAAGCGTACAAGAAGCTGAACAAACCCCAAACAAGATAAATCCCAAAAGAAAATCATCACGACATATCATAATCAAACTCTCTAAAACCAAAGGTAAGGAAAGAATCGTTAGAGCAGCTCAGGAAAAACTAAAAGCTACCTACAAAGAGAAACAATAAAAATAAACTCCGATTTCTCAGAAGAAACCATGCAAGCAAGAAGGCGATGGGATTCCATATACAAAACTCTGAAAGTAAAAAATTGCCAACCAAGAATCATATCCCCAGCAAGCTCTCCCTCAAATACAACAGTGCAATCAGGACATCTCCAGATGAACAGAAAT